ATATCTGGTTAGAACAGGACCATTTCCAGCCAATGTTTCCCTTTTCCCCTTTCTTTGAAAGTGTAGTCACTGTTAGAAGAAAGCATATGACATTTATTTCTTACTTATTCTCTGTTTTTGGCTTTTGTAACAGTTTGTACCTTTTGTAAATCAAAACAAGATTTGTCAAGTACCCTCAGTATGAATTCAACTTGATAACTTGAAAAATTAGGTGTTTTCTCTCTGCTGCTTACATGCATACCAACTGTCGCTACTAACAGGAATTCTGGCGTCACAACTTGGCTGCCAGCTTTGTAGATTTGGGAGACAGAATAGAATATAACCTGCTTTACATACACGTCCAGCAAAGAACTTTTCAATCCTGGCAGGAACAAAAAATTGTCAATAAACTCAGCAGATATGGCTGACATCCTATATAGAAAAGTACTTCATACTCTGTTTAGGAATTTTTTTTCCTGAGTAAAACTTCTCGTTAACAACACTTAATATAGTGATGGCAGTTGCAGAGTTTTTCTGTTTTTCTTTTGTTTGTTTTTTTTTCCTGTTAATGTTTCTTTGTTTTTGTCCCTTGAGATTTCTGGAACGAACTCAAAAATATTGATACTTCTGATTAAGGTTTAATAGTACAAATAGAAGTTTTTCCTGTCTCTTTATCCTTTAAGATTTCCTAGTGGGAAATTTTCTTTCATTATGTACACAAGGATTAATAACCTTAATATGTAAAGCACTCTTAAAAATTATCACCCCAATAGAAAATTGAGCAAAGGACAAGAACAGCCTTTCTCTGTCTCTTCTTTTTTTTCTCTCATACACATATATGTGGCCAATAAACATGTAAACAATTTTCAACATGAAAACAGTTAATAGAACACAAATCTTCACTGCCAGTCTTTCCTGCAGTGCCCCTAAAATGTGATTAAAGAGTTAAAAACTAAAAGAGGCAGAAATGTATGCTGACAGTAGTGAGAACACAGAAACGGGTTGGTTCATGCTATAGAACATCAGAATAGCTCAAGAATGGAACACATTAAGCATCTCAAAGTAGGGAGACAGGTAAGCCTGTGTAAGAAGTAATAAGATGTTCAGATCTCCTGTCCTGCAGAAGATTAAAGCTTTATTCCTTGGAGACAGCATGAGCTAACTGTGGTGACTTTGGTCCCTTCCCCTACTCATATAGAACCCTGGCAGCCTGACCTGTGCCTTCTAAGACAGCAGTTTGGAAGGTGGTTTTCTGGAGAAATGGATTAGCCCAAGAGAGAGGATCAGCATAATTGAGGAACCCTCATGAAACAACTATAAAGCTCTAAGTCCTTCCACAGAGCTACATTACAAACAGTAATAACCTAAATGTTCAGTGATAGGGGATTGCTTAAGCCTTGACATATTATATAAAATGACATAAACACTTAAAATAATGTAAAAGAATCGTATACCATGGAAAGATGTTCAGAAGATATTTTAAATAAAAATATATAATATGAATATATAATATGGTCTATTTTGACACCATAATTCTCCTTCAAGGAATATATCAGGAAATTATCAGATTCACATAAAGCCATATAAATATATAATGTTTATCTCAGGATTATTTTAAATAGTTTTTAAAAATTGAAATAACTTGGATATTCAACAATGACAGATTGATCAAACGAATTGTAATATATCCATACATTGGAACATTATATAGTCATAAAAATTTTGCTTTACTAGAATATTTAATAATAGTATAATGCTTATATTTAATTAAGAAAACAGGCAGCAAAGCTGTGTGTATATAATCCCTATTTTAAGTATACATATATGTATGTACACAACATTTTCATGAAGTTGTTATAGGTTAGTTCAAAAAGGAAGGATTCTGGGTAGTTTTTATATTCTGTGGCTTCTTTGCATTTCCCTAGTTTTCTACAATGAAGGGTGTTTTTTAAACTATTTTGGAAATTTTCAGAAATACACAATAGTATAATAACTACCACAACCCGATACCCAGCTTCAACAATTATTAATCATTTTGCCAGTCTCTTTTCCTCAATCCCTTTTTATTGAGAAGAGAGGGTAAGGTAGACTGGAGTATTTTATTTGTTTATTTTTATTTTTTATTTTGGGTGAGGCAACCCTTGGTTGACCTCACAGATTGCAAGGACCTTGTCAGCTTACAATCCCTTATTTTTTTTATTTTTTACCCCTCCAGCACCTGGTCTTCCTAGGTGGTCTCCCATCCAAATACTAACCAAGCCCAACCTTGCTTAGCTTCTGAGATCAGACGGGATTGGGCTTCTTCAGGGTAGCATGGCCGTAGACTGTACTGGAGTATTTTAAAGTAGATTCCAAGTATCACATTATTTTACCTATAACTTAAATATGCGTTTTTATCTGATAAGGACCTTAAAAACATAACCATCATGTTATCACACCTAATAAAATTAGATAGTTCTTTGCTATCAAAGTTCTTTTTTAATCAATTTGAATCCGGCTTTAAATGAAGTTCATAGCTTGCATTTGGTTATTATGTCTCTTCAGACTCTCTTATTCCAAACATTCATTCCTACCTTTTCTTCCTTTCGCACGTTTTCTTTTTTCATTGATTTGTTAGATTTTTCCAAGAATGATCAACATCATGTGTTTGGCTGATTGCTTTTTCATGGTGTCTTTTGGTTTTTTATTTCTCATATTTCTAGTAAACTGGTCATTAGAGCTAGAGGATTGATTATATTTGTTGTAAAACAGAATGCTGTGTTATGCTAACAGCAGCCTCATACATCCTGTGTCTACTAACATCTTTTGATTGCATCATTTTCCCTTGTGCTTGATTTAATCTTGTGTTGTTTTATCGTGGCCCCTAAGCTTATCAAATCCACTGCTTATGTTGCTAGTAAGAGTCCATGTCAAGCGATTGACCAGGAAATGAAATTATAAGTGATTAAGATTATGAAAGTAAAACATCAGTGATGGGTATTGCTCATCAGTCAAACATATCCCATTCCACCATAGCTACTATGATCTTGAGGAACAAGAACAAAGTGACGGAAGCTGTTAAAGGATCTGCTTCATTGAAGGCGATGAGGTTAACAAAATTCAAGAAGGGCCTATATCAGACATGGAGAAACTTCTAATGAGCTGGATTAAAAACCAAACACAGAAACACATCCCTCTAAGCACCATGACGATCACAACCAAAGCAAAAAGTTTGTGATGTTGAATTTATTGCTAACTCTGAGTGGTTTAAATGATTAAAGAATCATTATTCATTACATAATGTGAAAGTGATTCATGAATCTGCAAGTGCTGATGTGAAGGCAGCTGAAGAATTTTTTGGAAACTCTGGATAAGCTGATCATGGAGGAAAATTACTTGCCAAAACACAGTAGTAGAGAAGAGTGTTCATGGTACATTATTCACTTACAAGCAAATCTATGATGGAAAAAGGCAACCAAGCAAACCACCATAGACATATTTCTGAAAAGAGTGACACTTCCTCAAGAAGAGCCTCAAGCGGGTCCTTCAAGAGGTATTTTAGAAGAAGGCATTGTTATAGGCGATGACAACTCTATTTGTGTCATTGCCACTGGGACAAGATACAGAGGTAGAAGACAGTGATATTTATGATCCTGACCCAGTGTAGGCCTAAGCTACTGTGTGTGTGTCTTAGTTGTTGACAAAAAGTTTTTTAAAAATAAAAAAATTGTCAAATAAGGATATAAAGAAGAAATTTTTTGTACAGCTGTACAGTATGTTTGTGTTTTAAGCTAAGTTATTGCGAAAGAGTTGAAAAGTTTTTAAAATTTTTAAGTTTATAAAGTAAAAAAACAGCTAAGGTTAATTACTGAAGAAAGAAAAATGTTTTTATAAATGCAGTGTAGCTTTAGTGTACAGTGATGTCTTAGGCCTTCACATTGACTCACCACTCAGTCATTGATTCATGCAGAGCGACTCCCAGTCCTGCAGGCTCCAGCCATAGTAAGTGCCCTATGTAGGTGTACCATTTTTAATCTTTTATACCATATTTTTACTATGCCTTTTCTATGTGTGGATACACAAATGCTTACCATTGTGTTACGTTTGCCCACAGTATTCAGTACAGTAATATGCTGTGCAGGTCTGTAACCTAGGAACAATAGGCTACACCATCTAAGTTTGTGTAAGTGCACTCTGATGTTCGCACAATGACGGAATCGCCTGATGTGTTTTTCAGAAAGTATCCCCATCGTTAAGCAACGTATGACTATTTAAATCGTAAAACTCACTCAGACTTAATGAATTCTTAAGTGTGGGCGGGGTAAGACATGAATCTCTCCTCGATATGGCAAAAGACATTACCATTGCAAGAGTTCTGAATTTCATATCTTCATTTCTCCCCAGGCCCCAGCCTTTGATTGTCTGCCATGTGTTGATTGAGCAAAACTCTGAGAATATAACAGAGTACAAAGCATAAGAAGCTTAAAATTTAGTAAGGGTATAAATCTGTAAATAGTTAAGTAATAAAAGAATTGTTAATACTATAGAGACTTGGATTTGAACAAACCATTTTACACATTTTAGGAGTACCATACTTTATAAAGTAACAAAACTACAATTAATAGGTAGGTTGTAATTGGTGCAATGGTGGCCTAGAGTGAGACCACCAACCCTCTCATTTGTATTCAAAGGACACTTCCAGGATGTCTTACTAGACCCTGAGACTGTTTGGTCTTCATACTTTTCCTGGCCTGGCTGTCATTTAAAATGTCTACCCTTATTTGTCTCTTTTATAATGCTGAGTATGGAGAAGTCACTTGGTTGTTTACTACTGCTAACTTTTAAACAGTAAATTATTTAATGTTTTAGGCAATGTTTTATCTTCTAAGGGCTGGATTCTCACCTCTATTATACTGGCTAGAAGCTTTCTTTTCATAAGCTTTTTCCAGCCTTAAGAATGGAAGTTATTCTTTAGATCTGGTACCTACTTTGAGGGCATTGGGAGCTGAATTTCTGAACTTTCCTTAACTTTATACCTCAAGATATGTTGTCACAGAATTGATGCAGAGTGACCTACATAAAATTATCGTCTCTCCTCAACCACTCAGCTCAGATCATGTCAAAGTTTTTCTTTATCAAATTTTGCGAGGTAAGACTTTATTATGAAGAAAAAGGTAGTGTCACTGTATAAATGAAATGTTTTGCTTTGCTTTTCATTTGAACTTTAATCTGACCTTTCAATGCTTTCTTTGTCCCTAAAGACTTTTTTCTTTTGACCATTTTTATACTTGATGTTAAATAAGAGGTTTTTAAGAGTAGCCATACGGTTCTTATTTTCAGTGATGGAATACAAAGCCCTGTCTCATTCATTAGGCATTTGGGTGGGTTAATTTGCAGAGATAAATAAGCAGGATGGTTTGTTAAGCAGTGATGGTTTAGTAGGAGACCACATTATTGAAAAGTAACTGTGTTCCTTATGGATGTCATCCATTCTTCAAGCCAGCAGTAGGTGCACCTGGTCAGAGTGTTTACTGGCATACCTGAGTCCAACTCTAGAAAAACAAAATGACTCTTAAAACCACAACATGGAGGAGACTGATAGAAATAGCCAACTAAATAGTCCTCCAGTCTGGCTCATTAAAGATCATTGACTTGATAAAGAAACAATTTGGGCAGATATTGTTAGAGTTTTTTCTGACCATTGGGTGTGTCCTTCAGAGTTTTGCTATTACAAATGAAGAATTATTTAAAACTGAAATAGCTTTCTGACCTAGTAAAATACTACCGCCCCCCGTTAAATTCACAGAATTAAAACATTCTTTATAAAGATTGAAAAGCATCTGTCAAAAGGATTAAAACATGTACACATTATAAAGTTCACCTTTCATAGTGGATATTGGATCTTTTTTTACACTTGTGAAAAATGTGGTTTGCCATATTTTTTTCAGAAAACACCTTGAGGCTGGACCTTTATCTTTCTAACAGTGCTAAAGCCTCCAGTCTTTTAAGATGTCAAAAATATTTTTAAAGTAATTAATTACCCTCTTGATTCTCAGTGGTGGAGAATACTACGAAGAAACCTGGGCAGGTTTCTGAATTTTGTCACTCATTGAATAGCTGTCCTGAGAAAGACTCCTATTGGCTAATGGGAACTGTTTCGTTGGAGCAGGCTCAGAATCACAGGTTGAAAGTATCAGTAGCAGAGCTACAATAGCCACTGGATATTGGTATGGTCAGCCTTACCTCCATTGCCTGAAAAGCTTTTCTATACTTAAATGTAATTAATCTTTTGAATTAGAGAAATTATCTCTAGATTGTGTAAACTTTTGATGATACTTTAGCAAAATAGAGTAAAACTAAGTCAAACTTTTAATAATGTTTATTATGCAGTTATTTAGGGAACAATTTTAAATCCTGTATTCTCTGTTTCTGTGGTTTTCCCTAAATCATTGGTTGAGTAAAAGGAATTAAATATCTGCAATTAAATCTTTTTGTTATTTCAGGTTTGAAATATCTCCATTCAGCTGGCATTTTACATCGAGACATTAAGCCAGGGAATCTCCTTGTGAACAGCAACTGTGTTCTAAAGGTAGCTTTTCAGTTTAAATATCTAAGAAAAAAAATCAGAATGTCAAGCAGGTTTAAGAACAATATTTTTTTTTGAAAGAAATAGTTAAATTTATTTTTATCACTTTATCAAAAATTAAAGAACTCAGTTTTCTCTAGCAATATCACTAGTCATGACCATAGTAACTAATTTGTAGTATTGACTTATGGTTTCTTCATGATATTTTTCATATGTTTTGGAAGCACTGAAATTGGAATTGCAGTGTGACTAGAAACAAGAATAGAGAAGGCAATTTCTTTTCAGATTGTTCTATTATTAAAGGAAGTGTATATCAGAGGAAATATCAAAAGATGAGTAAGCTTCTATTTATATGGGAATGAAATATGGCTTTTAAGAAGACTTTTTGTACAGCTAACATATCTGTATGCTGTTTGACTGAGATAGCAAAGTAGGGAAGTGGAAACATTTAAAAGTAAAATACTAAACCAGAAAAGGGTCAAATATATTTCCACAATATATAGTAGCCAGTCTTCAGTTATTCCTCTGAAGGGGAATTACTTACAGGATTAATTATAGTTAGTAGCCCCAAAATCTCAAGCCATCAGTTTTAATTTTACTTTTTCCAGTACCATCCCCACCCCATTGTCTTTTGTCAGAGTAATTCACAAATAGTAAAATCCACATATGTGGATTTTATCACCTCTAATAGCGATATGTATTAGCAGAAGTTCTAAATAGTGAGAGGTCTACCATGTTTTTCCCCATCATAGAATTTAGAGGTAAGGGCTTTCCTAGAGTTGTGTTATCGCTGTTTGAGAAAATTAAAATTCCACTTATTTTATGAGTGGCTACAGTATTATATGGTGTTTCAGTCTGCAGTAAATGTAAAATCTTAACGTTTTTGACTGATATAGCTTAAAAACGAAAACTTTTAAATGGTTTCTACTTTAAAAGTAGTCAATGGGGGACAGGTAGAAAAGGTGAAAGTATTAAAAGGTACAGACTTCTAGTTATAAAATAAATCATGGAGATAAATCTAATGTATAGCATAGGAAATATAGTCACTAATGTGATAACTTGCACAGTGGTAGCAGATTATTAGACTTGTGTTAATCACTTCATAGATACATAGATATACAACAAATCACTATGTTGTATATCTGAAACTAATATAGTATTGTATGTCAAGTATAATTTAAAAATAAATTAATTTCATAATTAAAAATAAAAGTAATCCAGGTTGTCATTATTGCTTAGCTTGTTGTCAATTAAACTAAACATTAAAACCAAATATATAAGTGAATTTCAGTTTTTATTTTAAATACTTTTTTTAAACTGTGGGTCAATGTTCTTTAAAAATTGGCATGTTATGCTGCTCTTGAATAAAAATTCTCCCTTCATATAGCCTTCAAGAACTTTGTTTCTGTTTTAACTCTAGAAAGATTAAAAACCTGTATTTCATATTTTACCTGAAAACAACTCATATTGTAATTCATTCTTTTGTTTCCACAGAGAGATTAATTGTCCCCAGAATCCACTGAATATTCCTTCTATAGGTCATTCAGTTCATTCTCTTCCTCCCTTGTCACCTTTTTAAAGAGAGCTGCAACCTATCCCCATAACCCATTTTAATTTAAAAAAAAAAAAAAAATTTTTAATTTAAAATCCTATAGCCAAGAATTTTTTGTCTTATTGAAACCAAATCAGTTTTATGACAATTTAAGCCAGTTTCTTCTGATTTTGGATTTTGGTTGGAGAACTTCACAGAGTATTTTATGTAGAACTTGTCATGCTTGATGCCATTAATTGCTTGAAGTCCATTTTCCCAATAGTCTGTTATGGTATTGTAACCTCTGGCTACATGAATGAGTAAAGAAAAATGTCATTTATGAATAAACAACACACAGACCAGAATAAATTGAAATTTTGCTCTGCTTTGACTTGTCCTAGTAGCCTACTTTTAAAAACCAGAGTGCCTGGCTACAACACTAATACTCTCTTCTCAAGTGCAAATTCAACGAAAATAATTATGATAAAATATTTCTTTTAAATTAGTATATTTTTAAATTAGTATCTTTTCATATTATGAATATATTTTGTTTCCTGTAATGCACAAAATGGATAATGTTGCTGGAAGTCTCAATATCCTTTTGGTTATCTTATCACATAAGCTTTTTTCTTTGGGTTTTGCTCGTCTTCCAGATCAGACTGATATTTTTAACAAAGGACTTGCTTGATAACAGAAAACATTTTTTGTTGGGTGGGTGGTTTGGTTTTTTTAAATATATATAAATACAAAAAAGATATAGGAAAGTGCATGTAAGTTCTTTCCTTTGCTTTTGCTTTGTTCTAAAAGATATCTTAAAAATTTATGGCCGAGTAATAGAGAATAAAATATGTTTTATTGAACTCTAGCCTTTGGAAGGATTTGAATATCTCTGCATACAAACATGAATTCATTTGAATTGACCAGACAAAGTAAATTGAAGACAGAAAGAGAAGATTGCCAAAAATTAGGAGTAAAGTTTGTTTTCTTTAAAGCAATTTCTTTTTTTTTTTTTTTTTTAAGCTTCCAGGCCCTTTTTTTCAAGTAAAATCTATGCTGGGACCTCAACTTAGAAAACAGATAAAAAGTATTATTTTGTCACTTATAATAGTGACTCATAAAGTTAATCACTTAGATTACTGGAGCTTAGATAGCCATCACTCCATTATCTCGTTTTCAGTGTTCCTAGTGTGTGTGTGGTTGCCCGGTATCAAGAAAATTTTAATTCCTGAAAACGAACAAAAGTTGGTGGTGACAGCACTGTGGCTGTTTACTAACAGCTCACCTTGCAACCTCAGCATACTTTTCAGTTAAACAGAAATAGCAAGGAAAGATTTATTTCTAGGTCTGAATATAAATTAACCAGTCTTTCCAGGTTATAGCATACTATCTAAAACATAGAAGCACTCAATTAAATATTTATGGCATGAAGAAATGAATGAACCTAGTAGCACTGGCATTCTACAGTATGCTACATTTTGACGTATTTATACATTTGAGTGTGATTAGCGTTTAAATACATGTGAAGTTGAGGTACAGTGTTTATGGAACTCCTGAAGTACTTCCTCACAACTGGATTTAGCAGGACTCAGTTTGAAACCCATAGTTTTAAAGAAATTTTATTATATATATTCCATAAAAATGGTGAACATAACTCAGGACACCTTCAGGATATGCCTTTTTTTTTTTTTTTTTTAAATAATATCTTTCTCGATAAGCCATCCTTGAAAATAGATAGCTTGGTTTTTTAAAACCTAGAAATATACATTCAGCTTTTTTTTGCGGGGGGGGGGCTTAGTAATTGAAAACATTAAAGATAAGAAGCATATTTTTAATAGACATCATTTTATATAGAAATATGAAAGTTTGAGACTTTTCCCTCCCATCTAAATAAGATCAACTTATATATTAACACAAATATTCTTTACTTGTACCATTGAAAAGTTTTCAGAGTTCAGAGGTCTATCAAGATTTTAATTTGTTGTTGTTTTGTTTTACTTTTCCATTTGTCTGTTTGACAATATGATGATAATCTTTTCTATTTAGATTTGTGATTTTGGATTGGCCAGAGTGGAAGAATTAGATGAATCTCGTCATATGACTCAGGAAGTTGTAACTCAGTATTATCGGGCTCCAGAAATCCTGATGGGAAGCCGTCATTACAGCAATGCTATTGACATCTGGTCTGTTGGATGTATCTTTGCAGAACTACTAGGACGAAGAATACTGTTTCAGGCACAGAGTCCCATTCAGCAGGTATGATACCACTTTAGGCTTTAGATGCTTTCAATTCCATTCAGAGAGAGATTCATTTTATAACTTACAAGCCTATTAAAGGATGTGACTTTATTACATGCACTGATGCATAGCAGCAGACTCTGCTGTAACAATTTGCACAGGTTATAATCTTCAATTGTTAGAAGGCCTCTATTCTTTCTAACTGAATGGGTCTGACTTGAAAATGTTTGGTGACTTAATGTACTTATAGTTTGTGCTTAGAATATAAATTTTGAGTGCTGGTTTCTTTAAACTTGAACATTTAGAAACCTTTATTATTATTTAATCTTGAACATTTTTAACCTTTATTATTGGGCTAAAATATTTAAATATGGCAGAGAACATCAAAAGCTGATTAAAATGTAGCTTTAATAAACCATTCATGATACTTTCGTTGTCTGCCTTTATTGCTAATTCATTACTACACATTTTCTTGGGATAATTTCTAAGTGTTTTTTATCAATAAATTTTAACAATATCATTTGCATGAGAATAATGTAACAATGATAAGTTCAGGCTGTAGCGTGAAATTGGTGGGTTCAAATCCTAGCTCTGCCATTTACTATCTATTAACTCTTGGGCATGCTAAACTGTTCTGAAGATTGTTATGCAGATTAAACAAAGTAGTAAAGCTGAAAATAAGGCCTGACACATAGTAAGCACTCAGTAAATGTTAGCAATTATGATGGTGGTGGTGTGCCAGGATGCTAGGGATTGAGCAGTAAATAGGACAGAGTTCTTGTCTTCGTGAGACTTTCACATGAAACAAAATAAATAAGCATACAAATAAATATAATCCCAAGTAATGATCAGGTCTATCAGGTTAAGGATAGAGAATGATTGTGGAGCAGAACAGTCCTAAGGGATACTCTGAAGGGATAACATTTGAAGAGTGACCCAAGTGAAATGAGGGAGCAAGATACTAGAAAAGAGTATTCTGGGAAAAGGGACAACCAATATAAAGCCTTTGAGGCAGGAACAAGTGTGGCATGTTGGAGGGATGGCATAATCAAGGAAGAGCATGTAGAAGACAAGATCAGAGAGAGAGAGCCGGACCATGTCAGCCTGATAAGGACTTTGGATTTTATTCTCTCCAAAGTGTGATGGAAAGCTATAAGAAAGTTTTGAGCAAGAGAGTGTTAAGATTTTATTGATCACATTTTAAAAGATCACCTTAACTACCATGTATCTTTATAAATAATTCAGGCACTTGAACAAAAATGGAATCATTTCTTTAATGCTCTTTCTACAAAGAATTGTTAACTGATACATTAGAAACTATATGTTATAATCAACATTTAAATGTATTTCTCTACTACACATGCAAAATCTATTTTTTAAGTTTACATCTTAAACATTGATCCTAGTGATAAAAATAATATATTACCTAATGTTGGGTACTACTGACAGTATCCACTTTACTGTTCAATTTCTGTAGAGTTTCGCAGAGTTACTTATATGGCTATCATACCTGGACATAAAAAGCTGCTATACAAAAAAGCTTAAGTTAAATTTAAGGGGTTGTTCAAATCCTATATATTAAACAATGACCTTGGGTTGCTGCTGAAAAGAACATATAAAGGAAAGTGTGAAGCAACTGGAATGATATTCAGATACCTCATATTCTAGAGAAATACATAGGTCTTGAGTTTCCTAGTCTGACGTAGCCTCTGAGGGAAACTCGAATCTACCATTAGTGTATTTGGGGGTGAGAAATCAAGATATAAAATGGGAAAAAGTACCAATAAATTTAAGTTAAAAATAAAAATAAAAAATAAAATAAATAAGATGGAAAAAAGAATAACTTCTAAATGGAATTGGTTATTTTCTGTAGCATTTTCTTTGTATCTTTGAGAAATAAATATCCTAGGTACTTTGGTACCAGCACACTTTATAAAAATGTTTCTCATTCATGGATCTGATTCATTTTAAACAACATTCTGAATGTTTCCATTTGTTTTCATGAGCCAGTCATTTCCTTCTGCCTTTAGTGTAGTTTTCAGAAGTCCGAAAGTATCACCAATGCACTTTTCCCAAAAAGCTTTGTATAGAGGTCTTTACTTCTGTGGAGAACAAGCTACTTAGATACCTCCATTTTCCTGGAGGTCTTTGACACTGATGGTTACCCCCACGGTTTAGATAAGTGCAGAAAATAGTGCTTTATATTTGGCATCCCTGGCACCAGGAAAAGAAATATTCTCTAGGTAAAAAATTTTCCATTCTGGAGGAATTCGAATGATATGTTACTGCTAATTAGGTTATGAGGTTAAAACAATAGTAGCACTACAGAAAATTGTTAAGGTAGTTTGGTACTTAGAAAGACTTGTTTGTGAGAAGACCGTTTTTATTGGTCTCTTTTATTGTACCCAGCTAACTAAATGTGGCCTTATACAGTGTCATTGTTAGATTCTAAGTACCACAGTTTTCTGCCAGTGTGAGAGATTTCTAGCATAACTAGAATGTAAAGGGTGTGTAACTGGCCCAAACATTGATAGCTTAGCCTTAATTTCAGCTGTGAATGTTCTGAGTATTTACTAAATCACAGCTGCCTGATTTGTGGATTAGCTCCTTGATGAGCCTGAATCCATGTGAAAGCATCAGAATCTATTCATTAACTGTTTGAAAGTAATAGTCATTAGCCATCAGCAGAAGAGCAGTTCACCTCTGTAAGGATCATAGATGCTATGGTATCAAGACACAGGGCGGGTAGATGCCAACTTCTAAATTATTATAGCCTTAGAATGCCATGCTTGCTAAAAACATATTTTCTATATTTCTATCACATAGGTTCCTAATGATTATTTTTCTGGTTTTTTTAATAGTCCAAAAAGTGAAAATAGGGGATCCTATCGGTTAATCTGGAAATTGCCTTAAGGTTTACTTCCGCCAAATTTGGTCCTCATCTCTAATGAAAAGTTGTTTACGTGAGCTTGTTATCTATCCATCTGTACTTCACGTTTCTTTGTAGTTGGATTTGATCACGGATCTCTTGGGCACACCATCACTGGAAGCAATGAGGACGGCTTGTGAAGGCGCTAAGGCACACATACTCAGGGGTCCTCATAAACAGGTAAAAGAAGAAGGAGGGTATCTGTATTTGGTAACCATCTGTTTGGATGAGATTTCCCTTCCAACAGAATAAAGAAGTAAGAATTCTTAAACAAAAATGTTACTTGTAAGTTTTATTTATTTCGTATGTCATGGCCATAAGTAAGAAAATATTAAATATTTGTCAAATCAAATAAAATATGGTAATTCCCAATGCTATAGGAAAAAGTAAATATTTTTGTAGCCCTGCTAATAAATGACCCCTGGCTTTTTGTCTCCTGCTTTTTTGATGTGTCTAGGAAAAGTTACTGGGGGTGGAGCTTTAACCTCGATGCCCTAACCTAGTACATATATATTAAATACTGAGCCAAAAGACCTGGTATCTTTTATTTCAGCAAAGAATGTGAAGCTGTTCCTCTTGCACTTTTGCCACTAACATGGAATCAAATGTGAATGTTGTTAGAAAAGTATGAAGAGAGATTGTCAGATTTGCATTGATCATTATTACTTGGAACCAGCCAACTCACTTTTGAGAAAGACAAGATGGTCTTTCTCTCTACTCTGTTGATTTAGCAGCATTTTTTAGAAACACTTTCCTAATCTCCTTTGGACAAAACAGCTTAATGATGTGAAGAATGACTAAGGAGAATACTTTTCTTAGAAACAAACTGAAACAGGAAGCTTGGCAGGTAATTGTCCCCAGCTTTCCCATGGTTTCTTTTAAGTTGGGTATTTAGATGATCTGAGTGATCATTAGAAGTTCTGATTGATCCAATTGACCAAACGATAGACCGAGTTTGACACTCCTTCTTTCAGCTTTCCAGCCAGATGTTTGGTCAAGCAAGGCCTTGCCTTTTCCTCTCTGTGATTCTAGTATGACTCCAGAGCATCCATTTTCACTGGCATAAAGGGCAATAGGTACAGTGCGTTTATCTTCTAAAACCAGCCCGAACTAGTAACTATCATTATTGTCTAAAACAAAGGGAGGAAGAAAGGAAAATTTTAAGTTACATATTTATTTAACTAGTTAAATAGATTAAGATGTTTAACAGAATTCTTTCTTAATACATTTTTTCCATGAATGGGTCTCTTAATAGTAATGCTTCTTAGAGCTTAACATTTTGCTTATCACTAAGTTTAGTGATGGCCTTAAGAGAGCATCATAGTAAAAGGTAGGGTTAGCTCTGGCTAGTCTTGAATATTTTGATTTTTGATATTTTGATTTTGAAGAGAAGACTGACAGAGTGAAAATTAATTAGGGGACCATTTCTGCTCAAAGGGTAGATATGCTTTGCACCGACTTTCAAGTCTTATCTTTAGATGGCTTTTAACCCATTCTGGCAATGGTCTCTTTAGGCAGGTGTTCATGGTCTTTGAACACCAGCCCAGGTAGATTTGTATAGAGTAAGTTATACCTGCCATATATAATTGAATGTAAATGAACTTAGCACAATACTTGGTTGCATTTTTCCCCCAGTATGGAAATTCAATTTTTTATCTACATTTGCAAGTCGATCTTCGTACCACCACTGCTCTCAAGAGACGTTAACAAGGTTAACAGACTCTTGAAGCTCTTTAAGGCAGCCATTAGTCAGATTCTGCCTTTTCCCTTCCTACTCCTTCTCTTACCCCATGATGCATATCTTAGATGTCTCTAGTTAGCCTGTTAGCAGCTGCTTGAAGGTATCTCCATTCATGTTACAGCTATTTAAAGCTGAGATTGGAAGACACATACACACCCACACACAAGTATATTTGGTATGTAGCCACTTGGATTTTTTTTAACTTTAAAAGATTAATTTGGTCCCCAATCCAATATATACAATATAGCTTATGTAGTTCTATACATCATGACTGTTCTGCAAAGGGCATAGTGCTTAGCTCAGTATACTGAACGTATACTCTGTTTATGTTTTTCTGGACTATAGTGATTAAGAATGCAGGCTGTGGTGTCAGTCTCAGGCTCATCACATTGCACATGTTGAATGATATCCCAGGACTTGTACACTGCAGTTTTCAGACAGACCGAATATGTACCCCAACTCTACCAGTAATTCACTTTGTGACCTTTGGCAAATTACTTAATCTTTGTGTGCCTCCGTTTATTCACCTGTAAAATGGGAATAAAAATAGTTCCAACCTCATTAAATTATTATATTAATAAAGAGATAGTGGGTGCAAGGAAAGCATAAAGTAGTGCCTGGCATTCTAAATACTTAATAAATATTAACAAAGTTATCACTCTAAAATAATAGATAAAGCTTATGATTTTTTTTTTTAATAATGTATTATAATCAAGGGGAGTTTATCCCAAGAATGAAAAGATGTTTACCTTAATTAATATATTAAATCCTCACAACACTATAATGTACCATTTATTGTTCCTTTTCACAGATAGAAGATAGAGGATTACTGAGGTTAAATAATATGCTTAAGGCCATAAGCCAGATCTCAAAACTAAATTTCTCTAATTCTAAAACCTCTGTTCTTAGCTAGTCACTGCCTGGTACATATACCTTCAGCAGGGTTTTTTAAAATTATTATTATTTCATTTGTTTATATGCAAATAATATGTGAGTACATGTAAAATAAAATTTTTACTGAGTTAGTCATCCTTAGCTATCCCCCACACCATCCCAGTCTCCTCTGAATTAATTTGAGAATATCTTTTTGACAAATTTTTCTGTGCACCTATTTACATATATTTGTACAAACAGAAATATGTGCTATTGGTTTGTTGAGACTTTTTGAAAACTATATACATGTACAGGAGAACCTAATTAGCTGTCTTCTTAAAGTCACAGATTACTGCCTCAAATTAATTTACTTGTGTTGATCGATTAATATACATACTTCCCTGTGGTGTAATAGTACACTTTCCAGTGAAAATCAGTTAAAAACTGACTTAAGCAAAAATAGGAAACTTACTAGTTATATAACTAAAAAGTCTTGAGCTACAACTGACTTCAGGCCCTGCTGGATTCAGGTAATCGAGTGATGTTCTGTGCCAGGAATCTGACCCTCTTTGTTCTGTTTTCCTGTGTGTTGGCTTCATTTTCAGATAGGCTTTTTTCCATCTGTTTGCAAAAATGGAACCAGTAGTCCAGGCCCACGTACTATTAGTAAATCATTCAGGAAAGAGCTTTCCCAAATAAATCCAGAAAAAAATATTTGGATGTTCTCTGATTCATTTAGGAATGTGTTTGGTTATAAGTAATAGAAAATCTTGTTTACAGTAAAGAAATAGGATTCATTTCTTCTTCATATCAAGTCTGATATAGCAGCTCAATTATGTCATCAAGAATCTAGTTTTTTTCTTTCTTTCTGCTCTGCCGTCTTTAGAATGTTGACTTCATACTCTCTCATTGCCTCATGGTTACAAAATGGCTGTAGCTTGTTCACATTCAAAGCCATAAAATGGAGGACAAAGGGAGCACTAGCAAAAGTTTCCCCAGAAGCCTGCCTGCTAAACTTCTGCATGTATGTCATTGTTCAGAATTGTGTAACATGTAGCCTTCCAGATGCAAGACAGGCTGAAAAAAAATGAGTATTTTCCCATCCCATATAATGAAGGTCAACAAGGAAGAAGAGGATTGGGGGATTTTGTTGGGTTAGCCATTCCATGGCTGTCCCCTAACCTGAGCACCATGACTGGCCCATCCTGGAGCCAGTCATGGTGCTCAGAGGATATATCATTTGATTGGCCAGGCTGAGTCAGGTGCCATCTTTGGAGTTCGGGGTTGAAATCAAGCCTAGCCAAACCACTTGATTTGAGAGTGAAAAGAGAGTGTTTCCCTAATGGTCAGGAAATGCTGGGCGGACAAAAACTGTATGGAATTTTTTATTTACTGTCTCTTTTCTACATCTCAGAATCTTGGGTGAAGAGAATCTCAGCTGCCATGGCCTAAGTATCTATTAAGGTAGATACTTGTTGAGACACTGACCTGTTGACAGGATTGAAAAGTCTAACTTAATCTTTTGTTCATCTCTTATAAGATTTAGATCGTCTTTTCTCTTCAGATTGTTCCCAGCTAATTTTGTCGGAAATAGATTTATTTTCAGTGAAGTTAAAATAGTCTTGTCTCCTGACAGGGACCATATCTTACATTTAATAGAATCAGAGTATATTAGTGAGTTCATTTAGTTCAAACTTCTTATTTTTCAAGTGAGGATTTCTTTTATATAACCCCAAAGTGCTTAACCACTGGGCACTGTGCATTGTACGGACTCAATTAACATTGCTGAGTGACAATCACAGCTTCTTTGCTGCCAAACGAAAACTAACAAGAATGTCCAATAGGATTCACACAGCCTGGCTGACTCCACTGCAGTGACCAGCATTCTGCAGTTGGCTTATATGGGATAACCATTTAGGGCCTCTCACCCAAGACCAGCAGCTCATCCTTGATTTATTTCACTGACAATCGCATTCATTAATAGAGTACTCTTTATAACCCTTCCTTGCTTCATGATTTCAGCACTGGCACCCACTCACTCCTACATTGCTGAGTGACTTATAAACTTGCAGAACAAATAGAAAATGGACTTTAAAGAAGGTGGGGGTGATATGTATGAATGTTAGGGGAACTGGCAAAAACTTTTCCAGATGAGATTTAGGGTATATTTTAAGCATTCTATTTTCTCTCTTATTGAAATTGATTGTATTGCACTTGGAAAGGATTATAAACATCTTGTGTAGTTCTGATACTCTGGGCCCATCTGGTTTCAACCATTATGGTTGGTGAATTAGAGGGGAAGAAAATGGAAATAGAAATGGCAACATCTCTAACATTGCATCCTTCCTGTGGAGCCAGTGCTAGAACTAAGTTATTAACGGTTATCTTTCTGGAGAGGTATTGGCATGACTAAACTGACTCTTCTTTTTCTCTGTTCCTCTTTTTAAAATGCATATAAACACAGAAGAGGAGAAAGCATATAATATGACTGACTGTTCTAGGCAGAAATTAAACTTAGCCTTATTTTTAGTATATTTTTTGGGGGTATATTTCTGTAAAGAAATGGGGGGGGTGTTTAAAATTTTATTTGATTTTCACAAGCTCCCCATCCCATATCCAGATGTCCTTAAGTCTTATAAATTTTGCCTCCTAATTTGTTCTCTATCCTCCATTCAGTGGCTTCTGGAACTACTTGGTTATGTTTTCCTTGCCTACCTGAAAGGTGTTATTTATCTTTGTTTGCCCCAACACCTAGCTCAGGACCTGGTGGATGTTAGGCGATTAGCAGTGATGTTGGTAGACAGGTCTACTGGTGCAGTCTAATAGATGAGAACGCCAAGGTTCAAATGACTTACCCGAGTCTAGTAATGGCAAAGTTAGAACTTGAACCCACATCTTCCAGTATTCTTTTCCCTAAGCTATAACATAATCTTCACCACAAAAATAGGATCAGGGGTAGATTCACTTAAGGAGTGGAAAGGAAAGAATTGCTTATGGTGAGACATTTGAGTCAGTAAGAATTGGCTGGAATTTGGCTGCCAACTTGCACAAACAGGTGAAAAGGAAGACAGCTATTTACAGTGAAACCAAGAATCAAAATCCTTTAAGAATATCAAGTTACTTCATTTTGCCCAATAAAAAAATTCTTAGGGAAAAATATATTTAAGTTGTTAGTTAAGACCTCTTCCTCACACTCTCCACACACACACCCCATTGTCTTGACTAATATAAATAATTTCAGAGCTACCATAGACTTGCATATTTTAACAAAAATACTTCTCTGTCTGCAAATATGTAAATGCACCAAGAAATAGTAAGTTGGTGCACAAATATTTGAATGACAACTACATATATGTTCTATGTATATAATACTTTTTATCTGTAGTAGTCCTAACAAGTCTCATACAATTTTAGAACTAAAGTAAACTTAAGATATCATTTAGAATACTGAGATTCAGACATGTCGATTTATCTAATTTGTTAGTGAACTAGAACCCCCATCTCATCTCTATTACTCCTTGATCCTGAAGAAAACTTCTTTAAGTTGAATAATTATCTCCGGATGATTCTGAGTTGTCTTGTTCTTGTTGGATTTTCCTATGTGTCTTTGTTGAAAGGAGGCAGATATGTAAAATATTTGATGTTAGTAGTTGTCATAGCAAGATTCTGAGGCTGTGATCGAGATACAAGGAGACCTTTTAGTGTCACTTATATGAGAGAGAGCAGCAATGCCATTCACCTGCTCTGTCCCCTGACCCTCCAGGCAGTGAAATGGAAGCTTTATAAGCTTTGGGACTTCACATGTCATCAGAGCCATCTCCTTGCCTCAGCGCCAGGTTAGATATGGGCATGTGGATATGCCTGCCACCTACAAAGACAATAAGAAATTAAGTGCTAAAGGCAAAATATGCAGAGCTAGAGAAAGCAATAGCATACTTGTTTAGAAGATTCTGTAACTTCCTTGAGTGCCTTATAGCTCCTTTAGGACTAGTGTTTTAGCAACTTTATGGTAGTGTTGCCATGAGGCATAGTTCACATGCTTACTTTTCACAGTTCACATGCTTAATTTTGCATATGGACAAGATATATTAAATCTTTTTTCTCCCACCCCTAGGTATGTTTGTTCTTCCCTTCTTGCCAGAGCATTTACAGTGTAAGGAGCTCCATATTTACAGGATTAGCTTTCATTTTCCATGGGCTCTTTTGTGCTCTAATCTACAATGAGTAATCATGTAGTATAAAATATGCTATTGGAAGTCAATGACAGTTGTTTTTGAAGACTGGTTAATGAGAGGAATACTCATTTCCTTTGAGTTTTAGATTTATGTGCATACATCTTTAGATCTGGGTACTTACCTTGTCATTGGCTGTATTCCATATCTACTTACACAAAGATTCATTTACATATTTGAATTCTTTATTTTTTCACAGCCATCTCTTCCTGTACTTTATACCCTGTCTAGCCAGGCTACACATGAAGCTGTTCATCTCCTTTGCAGGATGTTGGTCTTTGATCCAGTAAGTAGTGTTTGTTTTTATTTTTTAATGAATTAAAAACACATGTGTTTTAAGAAAAACATCGATAGATGGGCAGTGTAAATAATGACTTTTCAAAAGATAAACTGTAGTCCCCAATTTCACCTATATCATGCTCATCACACAGAAGTTTGATTATTAACACTTATCAGTCAAGGTGAAGAGAGATAAGGAACTGTACCACCCTTTTTTTTATCTCAATATTTGTAAAAGGAGCTTGGCAAGTTAAATCAGGAGAAAAAAAGTTTAACATTATTTGAAAAACCGTTTACTTTTTCAGTCGTTGAAATAGTAGCTTTTCCAAATGCCATTTCTAATCTTGACTCTTCTGGGACAAAATTCAGCTTTTCATTTAGTCATTCGTTCAAAGGATATTTATTATTCATGTCTGTGCCAATAACTATTGTCAAAGAAGACTCAAAAATGGAAGCATTTAGAAAAAATTTTACTTGCCAAGAATGCAAGGAAGTCACCAAATACAAAAAAGAACAGGTATTTAAAGGGGGAAAGTACTCACAAAATTATCATTAAGTTTACATTGGTCTGTTTTTGAAGAGAAAACAGCAACTGTCTCACGTGATCATCAAATCCACAAAGGTCAGAACTATCTTGAGACATCAGCATAACAAAAATTAGGAATAAAAATGTTTGGTTAGGGAGTCCAGGTTTCTAAGAAATAGTAAAGGTTTTATTATTTAGGGGACCAGAACCAATCAGAGTGATCAAGTTATTTTTGTTACACTCAGGGTACAAAGTGGATTTTTGTTTGGTGTTTATTTTTTGTTTTCCTTTTGTTTACTTTGGCATGTTAGTGATAGGAAAGCAAGACAAAGCGAGAGTTCTTGATTCCACAGTCTCTCCTTGCAGTCAAGTTCCTGCCATTAAGGACAGTTCCAACAACATAACTTGCCCAATGAGCTTGTGATTTAGTGTCATTAGTTTGACATATTTTTTTATTTGGCAGTTTTATCTGCATAGCTAACAGGAGATTTTGTTTAATACATAAAGACCTTTTGTATGGTTAACAAAACTAGAGCAACAGAATTCAGCCTCCAGAGGTAATTTCTGTCTTCCCATAAAGGGTTTTGTAAAGGCCCCGAGGTTAAAATTTACTTTTATTTGTCAGAAATACCTTATTCTCTTTATTAGTTCTACTAGATTAGGAACCAAGAACCATGTGATTCACTGGTACCAGGTTTTACTTACAATACTTACAGCTGTAAGGTATCCTCTTTCTCAGAGGTTCCATGTTTATTAATGCTCCTGATCTGCCAGGAGCTCATAGTCTTTACAACTCTGAGGCTGGACTGTCTTAAGCCACTGCATAACATTTAACCATTTTTATCATCGTCTTATAGAACAAGGCCAACAAATATGTTATTTTTTTACAGAATTATTATTTTTAAATTGGTCTGATGTTTTATTTGTTTATGATTGATATTAAGGATTCTTTTCTTTCAGTTCTGATAGTTCACTTAGAAATAGATGCCATTTTAAAGGAATTTTATTTTGGTTTTAACCTGTTGAGTGTTAGCGATATATTAAGAAGAAATGATTTTAAAAGTCATTAAAAATAGAATAACCATAATTAAGTCAATTCATTTAGTCTGTTTAGTCTGCAGTAGTTAATTCTCATTTTGTTGATCTTGGGTTAGGCAGCCTATTGCCACATGTCTGCTCCTGCACTGAAACATTCCTGGACATCCTGACTCGGTTACTTGGTTCAGTCTTAAGAGGTGATTGTCTGAGGTGATGATATCCGTTATACCCATGAATTATACCATGAAGACAATTGTCAAGAGTATCAGATAATAGTCCTTCACTGAGGTCCTTGTTATATTTCTTATGAAAGATTCAATTCTTGATTTTTAGCTTGGTACCAGGAGCCTTTAGGCAAATATAAGAAAAAGGCAGAAACCAGCAGTGGAGGATAAGATTAAGGGATTCTGGTTCTTTTATTATAATATCAACAATATTGGAAAGAATGGGGTATAATAAATAATCAATTTATAAAGATGTAATTAACTGTTACCTCAAAATAGTGAAGACGATAAACAAATCTCCAGAGACCTTAATTTATCTAAAAGCAATATTTTTAAAGCACAACAATAATTATTAGGAATTTAGACAAAATTATTCATTATTTTCCCTTGACAAACAAAAACGTTATCTTGCATACACATCTTCATACCATCACACAGTCCTTTACATTCTGTAAAAAAAATGTGTGTACTTTAACCCAAAGGTATTTATTTTCATATATTTTTTGACTGTTTATTGATAGCTATTCTATAATGTATTAATGAAGAGCCTAAGCATATTAAAATTATATACAGGTGTCAACAGACTTTATTAACTCAAATTAATATTAGTAAAGTCTTATGTTAACTGAGAATCAGAAGATTAAAATTCGAGTTGACACATTAAGTCCTTATGATTTATAGCATTCTAAAACCTAATTTCTTTTTAGAAACACATTACCTATTATTCATTCTAATTTAGTTGAACACGTAATTTTTGAAATTTCATAATCTTAGAGTGATATTAGTTTATCTAATCTACAAAAGCAGTAAAAAAAAAAATCAAATTCAAAATGATTAGGCTTTTTGTGAGAAAACAAACCCAAAACTTGTATAAACTAGGATATTTTGCTAACATTATTTGTAATTGGAGGTAAAATTAGGAAGAAAACATGTTTTTAAATTTTTATAACAGATTGGTTTTTCCAAAGAGTCATCTTGCATAAGAATGTCACATGACCTCGTTATCTTATAGAATTATGTTTTGTTTCATACTTTGTAACCTAGTAACCAAGAATATTATTTTAACAGGTAAAGCTTTTTTTAATCTTTGATTTATATATTTGCCAAGGAAAAAATTTTAAAGAGCCAATATATTAAATAGATAAGGAAGAATAATATTTTTTCCATTTCTTTTTACATGTCTTTAATGTGTTAATATTGTTTCTAAAAGCCAGTTGGAATGGGAGTTAGCTCCATTTTAAGAGATCTCATAATACGATATTTTAACTCTCTTCAGAAGTATACAAAGTACATCAATTTGTTTATTTAGAAATATTTTATATTTATAAAATGGAAAATTTTCTCAACTTATTCAAAACTAGAAGAGCCAATATTGATAAAGCAACAAAATCTAGGATAGAAATAAGTATCCATATCTATTACAAATGTGATCAGTTAAAGAAACAAGATATGTACAATATGTAATTAAAATACATAGGACATAATTAAGCACCATTAGGTCTTTCAAAAGAACACCTTTACTGAAAATCTGAGTAATTTTGTAATTTCTTTCTCTATTTAGCAGGACAGTTATTTCTTTTCAGTGTCCATACCCTTTGCAAAATGGCAGTCTCCTTTCTTTAGCCTTATTTCAGAAGTCATAAAGAGACTTTAATTTGTTTAGAGAAATGAAAGTTGATTATTATGTGCTATGAATTTGATTCACTTTTTATTCAAAGGCTTCTCTTAGGTAAGACACTTTAGAAGACCTTCCCCCCCCGCCATTTTGGCACACAGAGATCATACAAACACATCTATCAATAGTTGGGGAAACACCAAAATCCTTTCAATGCTGCGTTCTCAAATTTCAGGAAATAACAGAATCCTCGGACAAAAAAGACTAAGAGCGAAACCAGATTCCAGCTGCTGATGGCAGCTGATAAGGACCTAATTTCTGACATTTGCCACCTGACAGAAATGACTTAATGGTGAGATGATAAAATTAAACCCCAGATTCAATCCCTGCTGCCACCAAGTGTGGACATGATCAGCCAGACATGATCATGCTCAATCGGAAACAGAAATCAGCTTGGCCAAGAGCCACATTTAGTGTGCAAAAGCCAAAGAACTTAGTCCCACAGATGAGACCGGCCAGAGACGCTGAGGATGAGCGGCCCACTTCTGGTCAAGGTGCATTGTCAGCCAGCTTGATTCTTTTGGTTCTGACAGTAGTCCTTTGTCCTGGTGGAACCTCCAGGAATAGCTGCATTTAGGGAAAAAAAAAGAAAAAGTTTACTTGCTAAGAGTACCAGTGAATCAGACTTCAGCTTGACCACCAAATACAAAACATGGCAGGTGGCAAAAGGAACATAACCAAGGTTGTCAAGTTTGGTTTGTCCATGGCAGATAAACAGCAGCTTTCCTTTGTGGTTATCATGTCCTAAAAGCTCATGACATGCCTTTTAATATCAGCATGTTAAAAAAAATCAGAAACAAAAGTGTTTTCAGGGAATCCAGGTTTATGGGACATGATTAACATTTTATTATTTGGGGGACTAGAACCAGTCAGGATGATTGGCTATTTTTTTGGTTTAATTGAGTACAAAATGGTTTTGTTTTTTTTTTTTAATCATGTTATGTGAAATGCCTGATCATATTGAAAGTAGGGCAAAGTGTCAGTTTTGTTTTACTCTCTACTATTGAGACCATCCTTACATCTTTTAAAATTCACTTTTCCTCAGTAGTACTTATATGTCCACTGAGCTAAAGGAAAGGACATTTTTTTTTTAATGTAGAAATAAATTTAAAAGTTTATAGTTTATCAGCCTGAAACTAGTATATTAAGTATTCTGATCTGAAGTGTCAGAAATCCACAGGCTGCTGATATTCAGACTGAGCTGGATGTTTAAACATGGCATTTAGACTGTTATCTGCTGCCTAACTCCAGCAGCTGTCAGGCTTTTGCCCAAAGTCGATTTGGTATTCTAAGAACATAAAAGTTTCAAGCAGCTTTATAAAATTGCCACTGTGATCACATCTCTTCTAAATGCTGAGACATATTTAGAAACTATAACTGTTATTTAAAATGTAAACTTACCCCCTCTGAAGCATTACATATTTAAATGTCATGATATTTGTCATTTTTGACCCTGCTTCCATTTATTTCAAGGTAGGAACTTTTCAGGATCTTAGCAGAAAGTCATTTCTGAGTGCTTTGTGGTATGTGATGGCTTATAATAGTAGTTTCTTGTCCTAAATCATATACTCCTTCTGCTGCTACATTACTCACCTTTAAATTCAGTTACCCCATCTTTACACAGGATGTACCATATAAGTTGCATAAAATAGTTACTGTGTCTTGTGAAAGAACCTGCATAGACAATCATGTTTATCTGTAGTATTGATGTGCTGGTCTCTGAATTTTATTTCAGTCCAAAAGAATATCCGCTAAGGATGCCTTAGCCCACCCCTACCTAGATGAAGGGCGACTACGATATCACACATGTATGTGTAAATGTTGCTTTTCCACCTCTACTGGAAGAGTTTATACCAGTGACTTTGAGCCCGTCACCAATCCCAAATTTGATGACACTTTTGAGAAGAACCTCAGTTCTGTTCGACAGGTTAAAGGTGAGTTGGGGTTTTGTTTTTGTTTTTGTTTTTGTTTTTGTTTTGGTCTTTGGCCGATCAGGATGACTAGTAACATTTTTCATTTTGTGGCCATGTAAAGCTGAGATCTGGATGGTGACCAAAGCTCCTTCGTCTCTTTATTTTACAACTTTGTATATAGCTGTTTGTTCAGGACATGTATGCAAGAAAGCTTTGTGTGTTATGAAACACTGATTTAATATTATATCCAGAGGAAGGTCAGGCAAAAGAATGAATATTTTGTTTTTGTTTTCAAAGCTGACTTATTTAATGAGTGTGACTCAATATATTTAATATGTATTCACTCATTGTAATTTATTTATTGAATGAAACATTGTGAACTTCTTTTTTGTATAACACCCAATGTTTTAAAAAAGATAAACATACACTGAGGGAACGAGTCTTTGGTTGATGACGAGAAGAGAATTTCTGCTAGTTGACTCATAAAATTTCCCGACACGATCTCCTATTGGGGTGGGATGGGGTTAATGACATCCAAAATTCTTAATGATTTTTGTGTCTGCTCTAGGACATTTTGGGAGAGAGAGTAGTCCCCATAGTAAGCAGCCCAAAACTATGTACTTAAACACCAACTGAGGTTATTTAAGTGATTTTCAAGAAGGTGGTAATTACTAGCAATTGAGAAGGGTTCACTCATAATGCCAACCCTGTAGAGTCACTCTCAAATTTATAGACCATTTTACTCTTAATGATGGGAATTCCAACCCATGAAATGCCACTTCAGAGGTTTTTGCCTGTGTTTAGCAGCAACTGCCATTTTGGTTTCAGGAAAGTTATGCTGGATTCTGCCTAATAGATGACATGTGTTTGATTTAACTAAACCAGTAGGAAATGCCATTCTAGTGCTGGCTAGAGTTAGCTGAGAATCCACGGCTCCCAGACCCGCAAATTGGCATGCTTGGTACGATGTTTGTTTTCTCCACAGAAATTATTCACCAGTTCATTCTGGAACAGCAGAAAGGAAACAGAGTGCCTCTCTGCATCAACCCTCAGTCTGCTGCTTTTAAGAGCTTTATTAGGTAACTAACTATGTGTATGTAATTCTAACTTTCTTGTTAGAATGAAAATGATGCCATTGTGATTTGGTTATTCAGCATACTTCTGTTTTTATTTAGATAACATAGATAAGAAGTCCAACAGAAAGTTTCTGTTATGAGCTTTGGCTTTAGTCAAAAACAGATTAAAAAGTCACCTTTAGTTTTACACTGATGCCAATTCACTGTGGTTGCATCAGCATTTTTTTTCCCCATTTGACCATTGTGCTGCCTGATCATGTATTTGGGGATCCTCCTGCAGCAAGCAACAGTGTGGCAGCCACTCTCCTGGAGTTAGACATGGTCATTTGGGTTCCCACTACCATCTACATTATAATAATAACTGCAAGCAAGAAAATTATTTTTCATAGGTGGACTGCTGATATGTCCTATTTAAGAAGAAGCCCATAGGCTTATCAGTTAAAGAGCTATAAACCTATTTTGAAATCTAGCAAGCTTCATTCTCTATTCTTTCCTTCTCAGTCTTTTTCTCTAACTCCTTGTTTCAGTCAAAGTCCAGTTGGGAGAAGGAAACCACACCCAGTAAAATTTAGTAAGAAACATTAACTAGGAAAAGATGGTTAACTACTAAGGCATGAAAGAGAATTCAGAAGAGTCTCAAAGTAGCAAATGCGGAATACGTGTACTCCCTCTAAACTGAGGGAGAGTGAACAAGGAAGAAGTGAAGAACTTAAAGGAGGCCCCTCTACCCAAGGCTAATAAGATTTGGAACTCTTTGAAGAGGATAGGAACATACAGTGTGAGGGTGGAAAAGAAACTTTTCAAAAGTGGGGACAGAACTGGTCCATCAAAAAGGTCTCTTGAGTTGCAAAGAAATTTGCCAGAATGTTTAGGTAGACCAAAGCTGGACCTTCCACAGCATAAAACAAGCACACCAGAACCAGGAAAGACAGCTGCTTCCTAATGCTGTGGCCTTACAGAGCTCTTCCAGCGCCCTCTAGCGACAAAGGCTAACATCAAACCATGTGGCAAAAGAGGAATGTGAACAGGATCTGGCTCTGGTATCACAAAGAAGAGCAGATTTGGATCTGAGA